CAAGCCAAAGGGCCAAAAATCTGACTGTGACAGGAATACGATCGGACGTATAGCTGAATACACAGGACTTTCGTTTTTACTGAGTGTGACGAGTCTATTGGGGATGAAGCTCTAGATGGAGAAGAGGAGGAAAAGTTGTCTAGAGAAGACAACGAAGTTGAGGACGAAGTGCCTTGCGATGATGAAGATAGGCAGTGACCTCGGTGATGCGGAGCGTGAATACGGGAGGGTAATGACTGTAGGGTATTCAGGCGTCAGCGTTGGCGATGGTGTAACGGGCAATACTGTCATGCTTGGTATGGGAGGCTCCCGGAAGAAGTAGCAGGCGTATTGTTGGAATATTGTAATTAGATTTACGAGTGAGCGCGATCCAGACCACGCCCGCAGTCATATTTGCATTCTTGTGGCTGAGTTTCAGTGATATATATATCTTAATTATGTAGATATTTCGTATATAAGTAGTGTACATTTGAGATTGTACACTATGTTGGAAATACAAACCGTCTCTCGCGCATCGCCCGCCCTTAAAGCACCACCCGGAAATCCTAATATTGGACCCACGTATTATTTAGACGAAATGGTAACACATTTATTACTCGGATTCTGTAACGTAGAAACAGTTGATTAGTATGTTCGTATCTACTTACAGTAGATACTCCTTTTATTATTTCTTGCAGTATATAAGACTTGTAGATAGCATAGAAACACCTCAGTCAAATCCTATTCTGACTGAGGTGAGTTACAACTTACTTACTTATTTCGTTTCACTCTTACTGATTATTCTCGTAGCTACATCTTATTTTATTCTGTTAGGTATAGTTACTCCGAATATACTCAGTCAAATCCTATTCTGACTGAGCTACATCTTATTTTATTCCGTTACACTAACCGTTTGCCTCACGAGCTCACCGAGGCCAAACGTTACGTCGCTTATTTCAACACGTATGCTGAAGAGGATGTCTTGGATTGGGTTTCGACTTGGGCTTCTTGTTTGTCAATGATTTGGATTTGCCCGCCGACGACGCACGCTTTCCTGCAGAGAGAGAATACTTTCCCACAGTCGAGGAAGGCTTCGACTGAGGCGCAGGTGAAGACGCACCACTCGGCAGGGCGAGAGCTTGTGCTTCATCCTTAGTATCGCCTTTTTCTGCATAGCAGGTAATAGGGACGCAAGGAGTTTCACCACAACCATAGTCACCCCCTCCGCCACATCCTAGCTTTCTACATTCCATCCGAGCCGTTATACACCACAGAGAACATCTTCGCCATCACGGACCTTGGTACCTTGGGCGGAGCACCTTACATTTCTTTCTTGCATACAAGATAGATCCACATTTCACAAGAATGCTGCATTGTAGTGTGAAATCGTCATTGTGCGAAAGTGGACAACATCGTTGTTGCCATGGAGAGCTTGGTGTGCATGGCGGAGATACCTGCTCCTCTCCATCTTAAGACGGCGGCGAATAAGAGGTGGGCGGGAAGATGTTGCACTGTGATTTGGTGTTGGCGAAGATTTAGATTATGTATGGTTGAGCTTAGGCCATTCCGAGACTGGGTCATTGGGAGATTAGAGGACGGAGAGAGAGAAAGAATAACAGATGCACCGGGTAGCAGCCCAAATACGAAGCTCTTGCTGAATGTTTGCTTGGCGTGTACCTTTGTCATTGCCCCTGTACCCGCCCGGAAGCGCAGAGAGACTTAATGGACTCACTGCCATTAGGAGCGCCTGCACTGGAGCACTGGGAAATATAACGACAGTAAAGGAAAGCTTTTGTTTGGTTACCCACTTCTGGCTAGGGTCCCATAGTACTAGAAACTTTCGCTCTTCTTTCGTATATTTAAGCAGACAATTACTTGTTAGAATGAGCAACGGTGACGTTGGGCCTCCATGAGCATGTGATGAGGGCGGATAGTATACAGGCTCGACTGTACGAATGTACTCTACTTCAATATGAAAAATATCTACAGTTTTGGATACATATCAACTGGACAGAGAGAAACGATGCGAGTGCCGCGGTTTTGCCGCGCGAGTGATACGAATAGACATGCAAATCGGCTGTGCGTCAGCCCAAACAAACTTGAAGGTCCCTTTCACAGTTACCATTCATTACTTTCGTATATTGCTCTTAATTCATTCGGCATTTGAAGACATTGATAGAGTCCCCAATACCCTTAGCACTATTTGAGGACCCACTATTTGAGGACCCACTCGTTTTGAGGGTGGCAGTTTGGGTGAGAGGTGTGGTTGCTGGCGTGTTGTATTTCGCGGTTAGGTTCCCGTCTGAATTATGTATGAGAGGGCACGGGAGACGAACACTTCTACTATTCATGCTTAATCGCGTTCGAACTCTCGCTAATTCGATTACACTTAAAGGTGTTCCCCAGGGATTAAAAGAAGATTCGTTTGATAGATCAGCCAGTGTAGCTGGCTCTTCGCCTGCATGAAAGAGATAGGATGGTTAGGGTTTATGGGAAGGCGGAAGGTAACAATACACACCTCACCGACGCGTGGACCAAACCATCCCTTCTTGCCTGCCTCCCCTGCATCACTCGAAGACTTGAGAGATCTTCACGACGCCTACATCGTTCACCTCCGCACAGATGCTATACATCCTGTACATTGTAGGGCGACGATAATCTTCTCGTGTTCGAGGGGTGGCGGTTGAGGGTTTGTGTTAGGTCGAGGATTGGCTCTTCCGATAGATTAGAAGGAGAGTTATATGACGAGCCCACGCCCGCTCATACTTACCTCGCGATGTATGACATCAACATTGAAAGAGCCTGCGCCTCCCGCTGCAATTCGTCGTCTCAGAGTGATTAGGATTGCCGGAATGAGAAAAGGTAGAAGTGTACACTTCAATCGAGCTGCAGCAGACTGAAACATGTTCTCGCCTTCCTCCCTACATTGCTTGAGGACTATAGCGAGACTGTAACCAGGCACTCTCATTCTCCTGATCGCATACAGGGTACATCCTGTATGTTGGTGGGGTGATCGGGATCTTCTCGCATTGACGGGTCACTCAGATGCGTCAGAAGGTCGATAACTTGGGCAGTGAATGCTATTCACCCAGCACTTTGGTTCGCATTGGAGTCACGTGTAGTCACGCATGACGTAGTCCGGACATAGCCGTGGCCCGTGCTGCGTGGGCGGATAGCCACGTGGTTCACATTAGCGTTTTAGCCTTCGCTTCCTTCGTCAATTGTTTTAATTAGTAACAGCTATATTTGTTCAATAGCTCATTAAATAACAGATAATGTATATTCTCTT